CCACAGAGGCCCAAGTCAGATGAGGATCAGATGCTCTCAGGCTTTCTCCTAAAGTCTAGATCCCTCCAGGAAAGATATTGTCCTCAGGAATTTGGGGGTTGGACTGGCCTGGGAGCAGGGCCCAGGAACAATGCTGATCTCGGGCAGCTGGTGGCTGTGCCACCCAGAGATGCAAAGGGAGATGGGGGTGGGAAGAGGCCCCAAGGGCTCCTGGGGACTGCAGGGAGGAACTGTGTCGGTCTGGATGCAGAGGATCAGGAAGCAGTGGTGGCTCCAAGCAGAGAGGTCAGCCCTGGTGTCTGGGGTGCCAAGACATGAAATGGGCCAGTACCCAGGCTAGAGGAGAGACGGGCAGGGGAGCTGGCAAGGTGAATGAGGCTGGAGGAGTCAAGGTGCGGTGGGCACTGATGGACTTACCCAGGAAAGCAGCTGGCGGGTTGTGCAGCCCAGGGAAGCAGAGGGTGGTCAGGGCAGGACCAGGGCCAGAGGGCTTCTGGGGACCATGAGAAGGAACTGGGTTGGTCTGGATGCAAAGAATCAGGAAGCAGTGGTGGTTCCCAAGGGAGAGGTCAGCCCCAGTGTCCAGGAGAGAGGCTGGCAGGTTGTGCAGCCCAGGGACGCAGAGGGAGGTGAGTGCAAAGTTACTGTGTTTAGCATTCTATTTCTAATAATACAAACAAATCCTCCATTTCAGGATGGAATCTGCAGACTATTAAGTTTATGCTGTTGGAATTTGATTTCTTGGGGATGTCTTAAGTGTAATAATAATATAAATTTCAAATTATATATAATATGCAGAAACCCTTGTATTATTCTATAAGCCCTCTACAAAAATGCAAAATACAGAATTTTTATTGTTGGAAATCTCTGTAGTATTTTATAAATTGCTTTATTTTTAAATTTTATTATCATATATATTATACAAATTATTGGTTTTTCTTATGATATCTACTTACATGTAGATAACGTATTTTGATCACACTCCCCCCCTTGTCACCCCTCTTGTCCCCCTCTAGGATGTTCCACTTTCCCTGGTTCCCTTCCTCTTCCTAGCCAATCCCCCTTATAATTTGACATCATATTTTCTTTGTAAGGAGAAACCCAATGAATTTCCTTATGGGTGCATAATTGAGTTTGTTACAGGACCATGGACATTTACTAGAGGCTACCCCACTGAAGAAAATGTCTCTTTCCCCATCAACCATTAACTGTATATAAATGATCAGTGGAGGAACCCCACAAGCCTCTCTCCCTTCTATGACAGGATGTTGATGAGCCCAGTCTTGTACTAATCTTGTGCAAGTAATCACAGCTGCCATGAGTTCAAGAGTGCAATTTCCCTGGCATGCCAGGAAGTCTGTGCTCCACGTGGCTCCCCACCTTTCCTCTGGTTCTTACATTCTTTTTACTCCTTCTTTAATGATGTTCCCTGAGCCTTGGAGGAGGTGGGCATTCAACAGTCATTTATTCTCAGTACTTTAACCAGTTCTGAGTCTCTTGCATTACCACTGACTATTATTTTTTTTAAAAGGAAAAAAAGCTGCTCAACCCAGAGCTACAGCAGCACCAATCTAGGAGCACGAATGTAGTTATTCAGAAGTAAAAATGGCATTTTTGCAATTACAGAGATAACTCAGTATGTAAAGTACTTGCTGCACAAGTAAGAGGACTTGAGTTCAAACCCCCAGAACCTGTGTAAAGTTGGGCACAGAAGCACACATGTGTCATCCCAGCACTTTGAGATGGGAAGCAGAGACAGGGGAGTCCCTAGTAGCCCATGTACAGCAATAATCAACCAGAGAGCCTGTCTCAAACAAAGTGGATGGTGAGGACTGACACCCAAGGTTGTCCTCTGACCTCCACACATGTACTCACAAACATGCACCTATACACATACACACATCATACACACAAACAAGGGAAAAGATGGTAGTTTTAGGATGCTTAAATAATCATAGAAAACACTAAATTAAATAGCAAAAGGTTATCCATTAAAAATCATCTGCTACAAATTTCCTTTTTAACTTCTATTTTGATCTGAGACTAGAAAGAAGTCTTCATTAGGCACAGACACTCTTCTGTCTGCAAAGCTCTCCTGTCCTTCATCACATAATTCCTGGACCATTCCATTGCCTGATTCTCAGGGGAGGTCTGTGGGGTGGATGGTGGGGTGGGATGGAAAAGAGTTACTGCTGTGAAGGTTAGGATGTTCCTGACCTGCTGAATCTTTATATTCTTTTAAAAAATAGTTTATTTTATTTTATGTTTATGAGTATTTTGCCTGCATGTATGTAAGTGCATCATGTGCCCATGGACGCCAGAAGAGGGCAGCTAATCTTCTGGAACTGGAGTTAACGATTGGGTGTTAGCTGCCATGTAAGTACCTGGGAACCAAACCCAGGTCCTCGGGGGAACAGTAAGTGCTCTTAACTGCTGAGCCATCTCTTCAGCCAAATCTTTATATTCTTAAGTGCAGGCAATTGTTTTCCTGTAGATTATGCAAGTTGTAAATAAACCCATGCATTCCATCAGTCAACCAACATAGAATTATATGGAAATAATTAAAAATTGGACAAGGATTACAGGTACAGCTTCAAGGGGAGCATCATGTTCAGGGCTCCATGCTCAGTCCCAGGAAGGAAAGGAGAGGGGGGGAGGGAGGGAGGGAGGGAGGGAAATGACACAAAATTTGAGACATTGGATATTCATTACATTAGGACTGACTCCTGAGCGAGAGTAAACAAGTGAGGTGCTCAGTGTTATTTACCATGGAGCCTTTAGAGAGCAGAAAAAAGGGAGTCCAGACACGCTACTGAAATGAGGAGAAGACACTCTCAGGTTTGGAGGTACTACTGCCAGGCGTGCTGGCACACACCTTTAATCTCAGCACTCAAGAGGCAGAAGCAGGTGGATGTCTGTGAGATCAAGCCCAGCCTGGTCTCCATAGTGAGTTCCAGCCAACTGTGTCTACAGGAAGACCCTGTCTCAAAAAGACACAAAACAAAACAAAAAAGCAAAAGCCTTAGCTAGGGAAGTAACTCACCGGTATAATACTTGCCTAGTAAGTGCAAGACCCTGACCTCAAACCCCAGCACTACAAAACAAACTTTAAAACACAACCAATAAGAAGGAAATTTAATCAGTTGGAACCAATCCTTAAAAGGGTAAAGTTAAAATACAAGGACATTAAAAGTTGCTACTCAAGAAAAGAGAAAAAATACGTTAAGTGGGGACCTGAAAGATACAAAGCACACATTTCTCATCTAGAGATCATAGGTCTTCTGTACACACTACTTCATACTGCTGTAAGTGGCATTTAAACATGAAGTGGTTGGTATTAAATTGCAAAATAAATGATTTAATGTCTTATTTTAAAAAAAACAAAACCAGACATGGCATTGTGCATATGTAACTCTGGCACGAGGGCCATGGAGGTGGAGACAGGCAGAGTCCTGAAGTTTGTCAGCCAGCCTATTGAGACCTTGTCTCAGAATTGGAGTTGGGGGCTGGAGAGATGGCTCAGCAGGTAAGAGCACTGACTGCCCTGGCAGAGGACCCGGGTTCGATTTTCAACACCCACATGGTGACTGACAACCATTGTAACTCCAGTTCCAGGGCCTCTGATGCCTTTTCTGACCTCACAGGCATTGTATGACACAGGGACACTCAACACACATGTAGGCAGTACACTGAGAAAATGAGATAAAGTTGGAGTATGATGGAGAAAAGACACCCAGAGTCAGCCTCTTGCTCCCACACGCACACACACACGTGCGCACCACAGTACTTACATGACACATACATGCACAAAAAAGTGGGAAAACAACTTTAAAATTCTTAGCCATCAGGGAACTGCAAATTAAAACTACTTTGAAATCGTACCTCACTGCAGTCCACAGTGGCTTTATTTTAACTTGCCAAAACTGGAAACTGTTCAAAGTGCCTTAACAGGTGAATAAAGAAAGTGTGGTATTCTCTTCGAGTGCAGCTACTCAACCACAGCAAAAAGAATGTAGCAAAATAGATGGGTCTCAAAACAGTTACATTGTATGAAAGAAGTTAGACCTAGAGACTCTATTTGTATAAAGGGTTAGGGTATGTAAACCAAGCATGTGACAGCAAGGAGCTGCCTGAGGAAACTGGGATTGATGGGACTGCTCACCACCTTAAGCATGCTGATGGTTTCTCACATCAAAATTACGTCAATTTATGCCGGGCGTGGTGGCACATGCCTGTAGTCCCAGCACTTGGGAGGCAGAGGCAGGCAGATCTCTGTGAGTTCAAGGCCAACCTGGTCTACATAGTGAGTTCCAGGCCAGCTGGGGCTACAGAGAGACCCTGTCTCAAAAAGACAAAAAAAAATTTTTTTGTCAGTTTACAAGCATGCTTTATTGCAATAATGGGATAACCTTCTGGAATATTGAATACATATGTATGTATGTATTATGTATGTATGTATGTATGAATGTATGTATAAATTGAAAATACAGTTCCATTGGTTCAGGGAAAATTACATCTGTTTTTAAACACATCTACGAAAGTGGTTCTTGTGTAACCCTTAAATAGAGTTAACAGGCAGTGCTGGCTCTTGGTGCTCTCAGGAAGGCATGGAGATGCTGCACAGCAGGGTTCTCATTGCCCTCAAGATGCTATCCAGTAGGGTCAAACTCTGAACTGTGCTATCAGACTTCCCTACTCAGGTGAGCCTTGGAAGAGACAGGTTGTATGTTAGTCAAATAAAATATATCCCTTTGTTTCAGATTCATCATGACAAAAATTAGTTTATATTTTTCAAAGAGCTGGGGGGGGAAAGCATAAACTTTTTGGCAGCTTTTTATTAGCTGTCTTGTGTTTGCGTTATATTTCAAAGGGTAAACCCATCCAAAGAACTGTTCAAGGTAACAGCAGGATTTTGTTGGTAGATATGTATGTTGCTCTTGAAACTAAGCCACTGTACACAAAGGTAGAATTTTAACTACTTTCTCCATGATCATTTCCAGAACAAGAAAACCATGAAGGACCAAACTAAGCACACCACAAAGGAGAGGCCTGTGGGCACCACAGATCTGCCAGGATTGGCTGCCTATACTGCAGACACTAGTGAGTTGGGTACATTTGTATAATGGGCTCAGAGAAGAGCAGTGAAGAAACTTGTACTTGGAAGTGGGTGCCTGAGAAGTGCCCTGTGGTTGGGGGATGTAGTCATGACAGATAGATGCATTGCCCAGAGAAAAGGGCCACAGCCTCATCTGCATGATCCCAAGGGGTGTCTCCATGCTTTAGGTTAGATGCATTAGAAAAAAACTTAGATTGTGGGCTGTTTTTGACATGTGAGCTCTTAAATTGTTGCATACTTTGTGTGTTTAGACCAGTTTTGCTATGTTCCCTAAGTTGGTCTTAAACTCATAGACTCAAGTGATCCTCCCACACAGCCTCAGTAGCCAGGAGTACAGATAGGAGTCACCGTGCCTAGCTTGTATAGACATTGTAAATCCTGTCAGTTATCAAAAGAAACACAAATGGCCAACAAACACTTTAAACATTTTTAACCATCAGGGAAATGCAAATTAAAACTGCTTTGAAGTTTCCTAGACTAAGAAAGACAATTACCAAATGTCTTTCTCTCACATGCAGATCCTAATTTTAATTTTTAAATATGTATGTATATGTGGGGATGTGGGTCATAAAACTAGAAAGGGTACCATGAGAAAGAAGGAAGTCATAAGGGAGGCTTGGGAAGGGAAGAAAAGAGAGGTGGAGAGTACAGGTGACATACAAGCAGTGGGAGAGCAGCAGGAGGTGGGCATGGGGTGGGGGGACCTGCTTGGGGAGGAAGATCAGCAGAATCAAAGCCATAATAAAATTACTGCTTTGTGTGCTATCTTTTTTAAAAAAAATAATAAAGTTTTTAAAGCATACTAAAGAATTATTTGATACAGTTTTAAACAGAAGAAAAAAGGAAGAGCCAGGGATGGTGTATGACCACAAGGACACAGTCTTCCAAGCTGCTGGGAACTTGCTTTTATGAACTTGGAGCAATGGTGATAGCATGCACAAGACCCATACAGATTCAGTCAGACAAAAGCCAGCATAGAGCTGGGGAAATGATCAGGATGTCCCAACCTTAGCCAAAGAACTACTGCAGCTGATCATTGTTGGTGAGGGAGAGTTGATCTTCCTTAAGGGAGTGATGCTAGATAGGCTGAACAGGCTCCAGTGGATGAAACTCATACCAAGGGACAACTGAGTACACAAATTTGACTTGATATAACAATGCATGAAATCCAGTGGGTGGACTGGGGAGTGCAGATAAGATGGGGCATTTAAATATGATTAAGATATATTGTATGAAATGCACAAGAATTCAATAAATATACATTGACCAAAAAAAGAAAATTTCAGGTTACAAAACAAACTTAACAAAAAAGTTTTAAGGGGCTGGAGAGATGGCTCAGTGGTTAAGAGCATTGACTGCTCTTGCAGAGGACTCGGGTTCGATTCCCAGCATCTACATGGTGGCTATGAACCGTCCTTAACTCCAGGTCCAGGGGAATCTGAAGCCCTCTTCTGACCTCTTTGGCACTGCATGGCATGGGTACACTCACATACATGAAAGCAGTACACTCATACACATAAAATAATAAATAAAAATATTTTTTAAGTTTTACACTTACCTATATTCAGGCAATACACTCATACTCATAAAATAAAAATAAGTAAAAAAAATTTTTTTTTGGTCTTTTTGAGACAGGGTCTCCCTGTAGCCCCAGCTGTCCTGGAACTCACTACTCACTATCTGGAGTGATTGGACTAAAGGTGTGCACCACCACGCCCAGCTAATTATAATTTTTAATGAGAAAAAAACACACACAACTAAGTCATTCATGGATAAGCCAAATGTGGATAAATGCCATGTAAGAGAGTGGAATCCTGTGTTAGTTTTCATTACTCTGACAAAATACTGTGTACTGTACACTTGAAAAAGAACTTACAGTGGGTCTGCTGAAACACAATGAATGAATATGGCACATGCTGGAGGAGACTGCTAACCCTGTCTCAAAAAAATCAAAAAAAAAAAAGTTTTAAAAGCCTGTCTGTAATACTTTAGGTGATATTGCATCTGTAAATGAAGTTTTTGGTTCTTTTCCTGACTTTGCCTCACAAAAGATGGCCAGATGGTTCCAAAACATGTAGTCTTCATGTCACACTGAAGAGCTGTTGGCATGCTGACTGGTTTTATTTGACCTTTACAGCATCTGTGTTCTGATGTCTAACCAAGCAGTATATCCTACAGTTGTGCAAAGCTGTGTAACTTCTAACTAAACTGTCTTTCCATTTCAAATGCAGTGGATGAGACTCAGATCCCTAAAGCAAGAGATAAGGAGTTCTTTAATCCAGTGCTAAATGAAAACCAGAAGCTAGCCGTTAGAAGAATTCTGAGTGGTGACTGCAGACCACTCCCGTACATTCTCTTTGGACCTCCTGGAACTGGGAAGACTGTGACAATAATTGAGGCTGTTTTACAAGTAAGGACAGTAGTGCTGGTTGCTGTGGCTCTGTGCTGTGTTCAGACACGTGTCTGAGAAAGCATCAGTTCACACTATAGAAACATTTGTGAAGAGTTTGAGAAATACAACATTGTTTATGTCTTAAGATTTTGAGTTTGTTTCATAGGTGCAGAAGGAAACTTCACTTTTAGAGTAGTAAACCTTTGATCAGATTTTAAGTTTTACTTCAGTAGAGCATTTGCCTAGCATATGCAAGGATCCGGATTCTATTTTTGTACCTGTGTATGTATATGAGAGATGGAAGGAGGGAGGAAGAAAGGGAGGGAAGGAGGCAAGTAGGGGGGAAGGGAGGACAGTGAGGCAGAGTGGTCACTTTGACACTGCAGGACATGTCTCAGATTATCTGGGATTAGCATCTGATCCTTTTCCTCCCAGTCTCTATAAGGAATCTGTATGTTAGACGCAGACTTCAGATTTCCACTTCATAGCATTGATGCCTGGTCTCTTATATTTTGGTGAAGGTACATTATGCTTTGCCAGACAGTCGGATTTTGGTCTGCGCTCCTTCCAACAGTGCTGCTGACCTTGTATGTTTGCGACTTCATGAGAGCAAGGTGCTAAAGCCAGCTGCCATGGTCAGGGTGAATGCTACCTGCAGGTTTGAAGAGGTAAGCCCCAGGCATGGGGTAAATACCTAGAATACTTTCTTAAGAGAGTGCTAAATGGGGGCGGTAAGAGCTGGAGATAAGATTGTGGTAGACCCCAAGCCATCACAGAAAGTTGTGATGGAGAAATTAGCTCTATCCTATGATGTAACTCAGCTAGACAGTACGGCCTTATCCCTGAATATTTCATTACACTCACCCTCTGTCAGAATAGCAGTACTATTCTGGGCAGTCTTCAGTTTTGTTAAATTCTCATATTCTTGCATTTGGTCCCCAAATATTTTCTGGATTTTTAGTTCTGTTTTATTGATCTGGTTACAGATACCCTTTTTGAGAAAAATTACAGATCCAGGCCTGGCGTGGTGGCACATGCCTTTAATCCCAGCACTCGGGAGGCAGAGGCAGAGGTGGATCTCTGTGAGTTCAAGGCCAGCCTGGTCTACATAGTGAGTTCCAGAACAGCTGGGGCTACAGGGAGACCCTGTCTCAAAAAGGCCAAAAAAAAATTACAGATCCCTGATTTTGCTTATGAATAAAATACTGCTTAAAAAAGAAACTGTGGGGTGGAGAGATGGCTCAGCAGTTAAGAGCACTGGCTGCTCTTCCAGAGGGTCCAGGTTTGATTCCCAGCACCCACATGGTGGCTCACAGCTGTCCCTAGCTACAGTTCCAGGGGATCCAGTGCCCTCTTGCCTTTGCAGGCATTGCATGACACAGGTGTACTTAAATGCAGGCAAGACACTCATACACATGAAATAAAATTAGAAAAAAACCTTTTAATTAGAAGATTTATGAAGTAGCTGAGTATGGTGGCACATGCCTTTAATCCCAGCACTTGGGAGGCAGAGGCAGCGGATCTCTGTGAGTTCAAGGCCAGCCTGGCCTACTTAGCAAGTTTCAGACCAGCAGGGGCTACAGGGAGACCCCTGTCTCAAAAAGACCCCCCCCACATACACACAAAAAGAAAAAGAAAATACATGAAGTTGTTTCTAGAAGGACTTAAAGCATTATAGTATAGTCATGCCTTCAAGAGTCCATAAAACATGGATTCAATGTGAAAATATAAATCATTTTAACTTAAGACAATCACAACTCATTACTTAGTCATCACTAAGTAGCAACGGGACAAGATAATCTTGTAGGATTCCCTTCAGCTTTGCTATTCTGCATAGTTTAAAGAAATCCTTCACAATTTGAAAACCACATTGACTCCACCCTCCTTGCCCTCAGACTATCATTGAGGCCATCAAACCGTATTGCAGAGATGGAGAAGATATCTGGAGAGCCTCACGTTTCAGGATAATAATTACCACTTGCAGCAGTGCAGGGCTGTTTTACCAGATAGGAGTGAGGTAAGCACCAGGCATTGGGTGGGACAGAGTCCCCTAACCAGTTTGTGTCCTCCCACACTTAGGTCAGAAGAGGACAACCTCACGGAGATTAAGCAGTGGAGGGAAACAGCAGCTGTAGGGTAAAAACAATGATCCAGGGTAGCTTTTCTGAGGAAGCGGAGTTATTACTGAAACCCAAAGACTCAAAGGGACCAGCAGTAGAATGGTCAGGCAGATGGACTAGCAACAGGGAATGAATCTGTGGTTAGAGAGTTCTCAGCATATTTATACAAAGTTGGGGCCTAGTAAGCAAGAATGATGGGAAGAAGAGCTGGAAGGGAGTGAATAACTTAAAGGAACAGTGGAAGGCAAGCCACTTAGGAGACAGCTGGGTTCTGTGAGATCAGTCTCAGGGGAGCCTCCAGTGCCCACTGGAGGTGGGTTCCCAGGAAGATGGAACAGTGGTGGTGCTCAGGGGAAGAGGACATTAGAGGCCCATAGACCAGGAGCAGCTTTCCAAGAACATTTCCTCTGAACTAGGAAGAGGAGCCAAGAGCTGAGGGGAGGCTCAGTGAGGAAGCCTCATACTAACACCCTGGAAATGAGGAAGGGGCTACAAGCAGCCCTGGTGAGGAGAGCAGGGGATATGGGGCAGGCTGAGGGAGAAGGGACAGCAAGGACCACTGAAGGTTAGCCCCAACCCCGAGAGCCCAAGGATGGACAACCTTTCCACTTAGTGTAGAGTCGCTCCGGGGAAACAGCCATGAGGATGCTGACCTGGGTCCACACATGCCTCTCTTGTCTGGTCCTGGGCTCCAGGTATCTGAGCACCACACATAGCAGAGTACAACTGGTCACACACAGATAGCAAATGATTAGCAAGTATTCTTTAGTTAACCTCATGCTTATGAAATATTTATTTTTAAACCAGGAATTGAATTTTTTTTTCTTTTGATCTTTTTGAGACAGGGTCTCCCTGTAGCCCCAGCTGTCCTGGAACTCACTATGTAGACAAGGCTGGCCTTGAACTCAGAGAGATCCACCTGCTTCTGCCTCCCAAGTGCTGGGATTAAAGGCGTGCGCCACCACACCCGGCTTGGCATTGAATATTTTTTACATTTTTATTTATTTTATTCTATTTTATGTATAAATGTGTGTAGGTGCATGTGTGGAAGTCAGAAGACAACTTGTGGGAGTCAGTTCTCTCCATCCAACATCTAGGTCCCAGGGATCAAACTTAGGCTTTGTGGCTGGTACCTTTGCCCACTGAGCCATCTTGCTGACCCCAAAATATCATTTTATCATGTAATCAGTATAAAATGACCGATAAAAAAAACAGATTTCAGCCAGGCATGGTGTCCACGCCTCTCAGCACTCAGGAGGCAGAAGCAGCCAGGTCTCTGTGAGTTCTGGTCTACACGGTGAGTTCCAGACCAGCTGGGACTACAGGGAGACCCTGTTTCAAAAAGAAGAAGAAAAAAATGTACATTTTCTTAAGTCCTTGAAATCTAAAGCACGTTATATTTCAGACTAGCTACTGTGAGGCACTCAAGCAACATACAGTGAGAGGCTGCTGAACTGGAAGGCGCAAGTCTAAACTGAGACGGGATTTTTGTGGTACAGAATGCCACTAGGAGGCTCTCACGCTTTGTTCATAGTCTCCTTATCCTGTCCCCTTTGTGTCCTTTTAAACAAATACACATGAGCTTAGAAAGCACAGGTATTGATGTGAGTCTCCTAGCAGCCTGGGAACCATTGTGACACACACACCCCCAATCAGGTGATGCCCAGACTTCTTGCTCTTGCCTTCCTAGACAGCCACACAATGACCCCAACAGCCCAGAGCAGGGCTTTGCCAGTGTGTGTCAGGTATTAAATGGTGATGGAATTATCATTCAGACATCTTTGGCTCTAGAGTTGGATACTTCACACATGTATTTGTGGACGAAGCAGGGCAGGCAAGTGAGCCAGAATGCCTTATTCCTCTGGGATTGATTTCAGACATCAATGGCCAGGTAAGTCCCGTTTCCTGTGTGTGTTTGTCTCTTGCCCTGTTTTCTCTCAATGACAGTCACAACCTTAGGGTTATCAAGTCAAAGTACTAGGGTCCCAAGAAGCTGGAAGGCCATGGCATTGCTTTTCATCACAACCTTAGTCCTTTGGGACTTGGAGGAAAGGGACTTCGTTGTTAAAACTTACTTGGAAACAGAAGCTAAGAGCCATTGTAGAGATTGGGGACACAACAGCAGATTCAGAAGCTGCAGTCTCTGATCTGGGTGATTCCCACATGGTAGAGGCGAGAGGATAGGGCCTTGTGCCCTGCTAGGATCTCGACTGCCTATTCCTGTTACACTGCTCAGGGCCTCTCTACTCAAACCCCTAGCCTCTCCAGCTCTGTGTGTCCTGGAAGGTTCTCATCTGATACTTTCTCTTGTGCCTTTTACAATGACATGGATATTATGTTAAAACTTGTTTCTGTCAGTAACCCAAGATTAGAGGTTCTCTGGAATCCACCCTGTGACTTTGTCAGGCTCCTCCTGAGAATGTGTCCCAACCATCTCCCATCATGTCACCAGGCTCTGAGAGACAGCATACTAGGAGGAGCTAGAGAAGGAATAGACTGGTCTAGTTGGAATACTGGCCTCAAGCCAAGAGGAAAGGGACTATTCAGCATGTTAGAGCTGTGTGGGGACTGCCAGGACAGGGCATCAGTGAGAAGGGTCAATCGTGGTCTCCAGGGTCAGGCACAGGAGAAACTTCCAGAACACAGGTTGCATCCCTGAGCCTCTTGCCACTGTGAGAGATAAGTGGAAGAGGTAGCAGGGCTGATGTTACTGAGGCTGGTGAAAGCAGGTAGTAACTGCTCAGTAGAGGAACCCAATCTCAAGCCTGGCTGGTTTTCTCCATTTTCCACTTCTCCCTCTAAGGATTGCCAATTCCAGCATTGTCCTCCCTAGTCTTTCAGCCTCTTCTCACATTCCTTGCAGCCAGGGTAGACAAGGGGGCCCCTGCCTGCATAACTTAATTCATAACCCATTAGGAGAGACCTGCATGTTGATCCCCAGAGCTCTTCTATTGCAGCTGGACCATGTGCCTGTCTACTTCCTCTTGTATTTGCCATAGATTGTGCTTGCCGGAGACCCCATGCAGCTTGGCCCAGTCATCAAGTCCAGGCTGGCCATGGCCTATGGGCTGAACGTGTCCATGTTAGAGAGATTGATGTCCAGACCAGCGTACCTGAGAGATGAGAATGCCTTTGGTGCTTGTGGTGCATACAACCCTCTGTTGGTGAGTCCTAAACGCTCTGCTTTGTTTCATGAACAGAGAAAGAGCAAAACTACCGGAGTAGGTAATGCTGTCTGGAAGAGCTGCTGAAGAAAGGCCAGCAAGGCAACTGCCACACTGCCTCTAAGCGTACCTCCCCTTGTCCATACGTCAAGTCTACAAATAGAGGCCTCTGCCAGCACGAGGATGACTGGAAGTGTTTCCTCCTCCATAGACTTCCACCTCACCCTAAGGAGTGTGCTCAGAAAAGCAATCCAGATACCCAAGAGGGTGGTTAGCAATACCTGTGGCTTACTTCCCTTCCAGATGCTGTTTAAAGCACTTTCTATGTGTTCTCTGCCTTGCTGCTGTTGAGATCAGAGGAGTCCAGGCAATCTTAACATTGATGAGTCTGTGGGGCCCAAGACAGAAAAAGAAACTAAATCCTCCTTACTCTACAAACAGGCAAACAGGAAGTGGTTTTACATGTGAAGGAAAAAGGCCTGTCCTAAGGCCTCCCTCTAGGGAGTATCTCTTTTGGGGTCTCCTGACCTAAGGTATTCATCTGATTGAGCCCAGCTTCTGGGTTCTCGCACCTCAGTTAGATTCTGCAGGTGGGCTTTGGAACTTGTATCATTTGGAGTGCCCAACACAATGAGCTTGGGAATCTGGACTCTGTAAGACATATCATTAAATAATGATACAATATTGCCGGGCGTGGTGGCGCAAGCCTTTAATCCCAGCACTCAGGAGGCAGAGGCAGGCGGATCTCTGTGAGTTCAAGGCCAGCCTGGTCTACATAGTGAGTTTCAGGACAGCTGAGGCTACAGGGAGACCCTGTCTCAAAAAAAAAAAAAGAAATTATTCTCTAAACTGCTATTTTACTACTAAACTGTCATAAAACAAACCAGATGTCCATCTGAACTTGTGTTCCTAGTGTTGAGGTGCAATGATCATGGGAGGTGTTCAGAGAAATAACCCTTTCTTCCATTGGAATCATAGGAGTAAAAGTCAAGCAAAGACTGTGGGAGAGCATGTTAGGATTCTTCAGGCCCAGGAAATCCTCAAAGATAACACCCACCAGAAGGTGCCCCCAGAATGAGGTGCAGTGTGACATCTTGCTGAGCCCAGAGAGAGTGCCTGACACTCTCTGCCCACAAAATACACTCACACCCAAGTCTCTTGTACACCTTGGGAGAAGAGGATCAGTAGGCTATGCCACCTCTGGCACACCAACAGAAAGGACCCCCACCACAGGACCCAAGGCTCTTTCCTGCAGCTACCTATCCTTCTCTATGTAGTAACGGCCTTCTTTTTCCCTGGTTCCCTCTGGTCTGGTCTAATACAAATCTTCAAGCGGTGACATGTTCTCCTTTCTGAAGTACAGTTTGCTGTCTTGGGACTAATGGGTACTTTCCCAATATATTAGTTATTTTACTTCCATTGTTGTGACAAAATACCTGATAGAAGCACCTTAAGAACTCCAGGCGTGGTGGTGCACGCCTTTAATCCCAGCACTCAGGGAGGCAGAGGCAGGCAGATATCTGTGAGTTCAAGGCCATCTTGGTCTACAGAGTGAATTCAGGCCAGCTGGGGCTACAGGGAGACCCTGTTTCAAAAAGATTTTTTTAAAAAAGGATTTATTTGGATGGAGTCTCCACATGAGAGAGAATCTAACAGTGCAAAGGCATCGTGGCATGAGGCCGCTGGTCACATTGCATCTGCAGTCAGATGAATGCTGGTGCCCATCTGGCTTCTTCTGTTACTGTTTTTATTTGATCTAAGACCCCAGCTCATAACATGGTGCCACACACATACACATTCAGAGTGGGTCTTCTTACCTCAGCTGGAAATACCCTTAAAAGATACACCCAGAAATGTATCTTCTAGATCAAATCCAGTCAAGTTGATGATGAAGATTGGCCATCATAGGGAGGAACAAGGACAGATGCTTGTACTGCATGAACTTCCTAGACCAGTTAAAGGCAAAAACCATTTTTTACACACTGATGCTGTTCTCATGGTCCAAGCTCTACTGGGGAAGTCACAGCAGCTCTTACTTTCTGCCCCCAAAGGAGAGTCACAGCTTCAGAGGACTTCTCTTAAAGCTTGGGTTTTAAAACTCTGGATTCAAGGCAAAGCTTGCAGCACACAAGATATACCCCCTAAGAGATACTCAATAGTTAGAATCCAGGAGAAGAGCAAAGAAAGGACCTTTTTACCCCCCAACCCCTGTGTCTACCTTTTCTGCTAAAATGAACCCTTGGGATCCAGAATCATCTGAGAGGCTTATTCTGACATCAGATTTTAAGCTAGTAGAGGAGGGACCAGGCAGGAGCAGGGGCCACCCTATGTGCCAACATTGAGGTGGCTTCAAGTTTGCCATTCAGGACAATAAGACAGAACTTGGACAAGAACTGTGTGGTGCTGATTCCTGGTCATCTGTACCTGCCCTTTCCCCACAGGTCACAAAACTGGTGAAGAACTACAGGTCCCATTCGGCACTGCTTGCACTGCCCTCTCGTCTATTCTATCATAGGGAGCTTGAGGTTTGTGCTGACCCCAGAGTGGTGACCTCACTGCTGGGCTGGGAGAAGCTGCCTAAGAAAGGTTTTCCTCTCATCTTCCACGGGGTAAGGGTAAGTCTGCCTAGACTGCTCAAGGAGGAAGTCATCCATCTGGGTCAGTTCACCCAGAACAACCTTGCTGTATGATTCCCAGTGTGGTCTGTGTCCCTTGTCTGTACTTCTTAATTATTAGATCCATAGTCAAGCATCTCTCATAGGTCCAAGGTGGGGAAAGACAGGTGCTCATCTCTTAAGTGTAAAAGCAGGAAGCAGGAGCTACTGCTGACTCTACTATCAGGGCTTCCATGCAGAAAGGACTCAGAAATGGATATTGTAGGTCATTGTCCTCGTGCTTACAGCAAACGGGTACTGGGTTCCAAGAGAAAACACAGGCCAGCTAAGCTCCTCAGGTTTCAAAAAGCGCAAAGTGTGGACTAGAAGGCTGGGAGGATGTGCTAGAGAGATGCTCAGCAGTTAAGAGCACTTCTTGCTCTTGAATTAAGACCATTTTGATTCCCGGTATCCACATTGGGTAATTTCACAACTGCCTGTACCTCTAGCTCCAGGGAGGTCTGACAGCGTTGGCCTCTGTGAGTGTACCTGAACTAATGTACACACATACAGACACATAATTAAAAATTCAAATAAAATTTTAAAAAAGAAGGCTTGGAGGTAAGGCTGGAAGGACTGAGGGAAGCTGGACACCAAGGATTGACATCCCAGCCGTCAGGACCAGAGTCAAGTTGAGAACCTGCAAGAACCAGTCAGGCAAGCATTTGAGCCCAGGCCCAGAGGCAGGAAGAATGATAGGGACAGGGACAGAGCCTCTTAAGACCTCAGAGAATGATGCACAGCAGCAAAAATAAATTTCAAACATTCACTAAAATCAGATCGTTTGTACGAGGAATTTGGTTTCAGAACCAGAAATTAAGTTTTACATTCACATCCCCAAAAGAAGGGAATTTAAGTTACAATGCAGCATTAGTGTCACACCCAGAGAGGGAAAGCTAGTGCCAAAGAGCCCTCTTCTCCTACAGCCTGGCCTTGTGGGTGTGTGAGCTCCACCAAAGCATAGTCTCTGCCTCAGTTTCCAAGACTCCTTGGTATCTGGGAGAAGGGAGTGTGGAGTGTTGTGTGCTGGTGTCTGTGGAACACCCTCTCTAAGGTTCCTTGCTTGTGGACAGTGCTCATCAAGCCTTGTGCTGTCTCCTACCCCGAAAATTAACCTCCCCAAGGTTTGGGTAGCTCTGCCCATGCTCAGAAGCCTCTACAGTATCTGTAAATGAGCCTCACTAGGCCTAACCAACATGACAGTAAAACAAAGACCTGAAGCTTTACCTGAGCACATGAAGTGGAACAGGTGTATCCCGAGTAAGAGTCCAAGATCTTGAAACATGCTGGTTCTTGGGGCTGGAGAGATGGCTCAGCAACTAGGACCACTGGCTGCTCTTGCAGAGCACTGGGGTTTGGTTCCCAGCACCCACTTACCTGCCAGGGCTTCTAGATGGTGTGACTTTCTCAGGATTTTCTTTGTGTATTGAAGAATGATAAGTACTTTTGTCTCCCTTTTCCTTCTAGTGCTTTCTATCTCTTCCCTTCTCCCCCCCCCCCCCGTGTGTGTGTGTGTGTGTGTGTGTGTGTGTGTGTGTATTTTTCTGGTTTTCTGACATACGGCCTCACCATGTAACCCATGTTGGCCTTGAATTTTCTATCCTGCATTACCTCCACAGTGCTGTGATTACAGGCCTAAATTACCCCTGACAAAAAATACTTTTAATTTCTAAAGAGCTTAGAATATTTTTTGGTACCTCTTATGTTTTTTTTTTTAAAGACAGGATCTCACTATATAACAGAGGGATATCCTGAAACTTGTTATGTAGTCCAAGCTGACCTTGAACTCAAAGAAGTCTGCCTACCTCTGCCTCATGAGTGCTGGCATTAAAGGTATGGGCCACCACTCTCAGTCCTCATTTCTAACTTTATTAGAGTTTGTTTTTTTTTAAGTTCTCATGGAACTTATACTAGCCTTAAGTTCTCTGTGCATTATAGCTGAGGGGTGGCTTTGAGACTCTGGTTTCTACTTCTGCTTCACAAGTGCTGAGATTACTGGCATGTACTATCACATATCACATTTATTAGGTTAGGGTTGGGAATTTTGTCCTGTAAATTCTGCCTTTAAGCATTTATGGCCTATTAGGCAGTAGTTTAGGTAAACATCCTAAGGATACAGTAAAGTTTTATGCACTGTGTGAGGATGTGGAGCCAGTTAAATTTGTCTGTGCCCTCTTGTTCTATGTTCTGACAACTAGGAACACCCTGGTGGGAGGAGAGTAGTGAAGGTCTCATGTAATAATTATCTCCCTTTTTAAAGATCAAATTCTCTTTGAGTTTCTCATTCTCACTTTGTATCTTTAAGTGCTATTTTCCAAACTCCAGTGTTTTATCTTCCTCACTTTGTAAGGTGCTTCAGTGCTGTTCATGTTTCTAATTGGGGGGAGGAGGAGCCATAGGCACATACATGCCACGGCCTACAGTGCATGTGGAGGTCATCACAGAACTTTGGGGAGCTTATTCTTTCTTTCTACAGCAGGATCTAGGGACTGAACTCGAATCATGAGACTTTTACAAGCAAGTGTGTTTTGCTGCTAAGCCATCTTGCTGGTCCTCTTCATGTTTTTAGCCTTAAATTCTACCTTGTAATAATTATAATGTTGTCACTTCTTATTTTTACCTGGTATTTTTATGTGTATGTGACTACAGGTACCCATGAAAGCCATAGGCATTTGGATACCACAACCCACCTCCCCCCAAGCTAGTATTACAGGCTGTTGTGAGCTACCCCTTGTGGGTTCCTAGGAATTAAATTCAGGTCAATTCCTGGAAGAGCCATATGTGCTCTAACCCACTAAGCCGTGTCTCTAGCCCACACCTGATGTTTTTTTACCCTCTGTTTTTATTCATTATATTTTACTTTTAGATATATGTCTTTGAAGTATCTGGATGTCATGTTTAATCCATTTTAAGAGTTTGCTTTTATTAAGATAAATCAGCAAACTGTGATGAATTTTTTTTGTTGTTGGTAGTGGTGAGGATTTTGGGGGTTTTTGGTTTTTTTTGGTTTTTTTGGTCTTTTGAGACAGGATCTCCTCCCTGTAGCCCCAGCTGGTCTAGAACTTACTATGTAGACCAGGCTGGCCTCAAACTCACAGAGATCCATCTGCCTCTGCCTCTGCCTCTGCCTCCCAAGTGCTGGGATTAAAGGTGTGCACCACCACACCTGGTATCTGGGAATTTTATTTGTCTTTACCTTTGTTGCTGTTCTCACCTTTTGCTTATTTCTCCATTTGATTATTTGCTGTTGATTGAATTTTTCTTATCAGTTTAGAAATTCTGCTATAAGCTTTCATTCCACTAAGCTTTAAGATTCTTGAAATCAGGCCAGCCTGGTCTATATAGAGAGTTCCAGACCAGCTAAGGCTACATAGTGAGATATTATCTCAAAAAACCTAAAAATAAATAAAAACCAGGCATGGCATGGTAGCTCACACCTTTAATTCCAGCACTCCAAAGGTAGAGGCAGGCAGATGTCTGTGAGGTCAAGGCCAGCCTGGACTACATAGAGAGTTCCAGGCCAACTGGGGCTACAAAGTGAGACCCATCTCAAAAACTATAATAAATAAAGATACTGAAATTATACACATACTATAGCCTCCAGGCTAGCTCCTCTTCAGGCCCTACGGTCTGCTCTCATATGGCTCTGGGCTTTTGCCACAATGGCCTTTCCCTCTGTCTAGAGAGTTGTAAGCCATATCATATCATAGCCCTCTGTTCTCCCTCTAGCATGGGCTGCCCTTTATGAGGTGATTCCTGCCCATCCTTGGTCGAGTTACATAAAGGAATTCTTCCCTGACCTTCCACCCTGACATAAATTCCTAAATGATACAATTTGTACAACTGACCTTTCTCTTTTATAGCACTTAGTATGGTTCTGATTTTCAAGTTATTTAGTGATAACTGCCCTGCAAGAAACATGTCTGCATGAGAGTAGGGATTTTTTTCTCTGATATTTATTATGTATTCCTAGCACCTACTTCAACTCCTTGATCAGGAATCCTTGGTAAACATCAGTGGATAAATGACATTGTATCTTCTCATTGACTCAGGGCGATGAAGCACGTGAAGGGAGAAGCCCATCATGGTTCAGCCCAGCTGAGGCCGTCCAGGTGATGCGCTACTGTTGCCTCCTGGCCCGGAGTGTCTCCAGCCAGGTGTCTTCCAAGGACATCGGTGTCATCACACCCTATCGAAAGCAGGTGAGCCCATTAGGACTGTGCCTTGTTCTACACAACCACTGTGGCCCTTGTTTCTTGATTTGTGAAAGACGGAAACAAATACATTTTGAACAGCAGTAGATTTTCAAAGTACCACCATGTCTGAATGATACTTGAAATAGGTTGACAAGCTGGGCGTGGTGGTGCACACCTGTAGTCCCAGCACTTGGAAGGCAGAGGCAGGTGGATCTCTGAGTTCAAGGCCAGCCTGGTCTACATAGTAAGTTCCAGGCCAGCTGGGGCTACAGGGAGACCCTATTTCAAAAAGACCAAAAAAAAAAAAAGAAAAAAGAATAAGTTGACAAACCACAGCTCACACCCAGTTCTAACCAACCACCTATGTTTCTGTATCCAGCGCTAAGTCTTGTTTTTACATTTCTAAGTGATTACATCATAAATATTTACATAAAGAATTGTGGGATAGCCTTGATATTTTGTCCTTTTAAGATAAAACTTTAGCCTGGTTTGGTGGCACATGCCTTTAATCCCAGCACTCAGGAGGCAGAAACAGGCAGAGTTCCTGTGAGCTCAAGTTAAGCCTGGTCTACTTAGCAAATCTCAGACCAGCCAGGACTATGTAGTGAGACCCTGTGTAGAGGGAGAAAAAAAGCTTTCTAGGTGTGGTGGCTTATACCTATAACTGCAGTACTTGAGAGACTGAGGCTGCTAGTTAGAGACCAGTCTGGGCCATATAAGTTCTAAGCCTATTTGAGTTACAGAGTGAAACCCTGTCTCAAAAAAGAAAAGAAAAATGAGGAAGGTAGGGCATGAGGGAGGGAAAGAGAAAAGGTTTGCTCATCCCAGCTCTCAACCAGTGCTTCTTAAAGAGAGTGCTGCTGGCATTCTTGAGGAGGACCCTTCCAGAGGATTATAAGGCAACATTTCTGGTCCTGTAAAGTTCGCTATAGATTATGACAACCAGAAACTGCCATGTTTGTTTACCTGCTCTGAAGCTGTACTAGGGGCAGACAGTGCCAGTATCAAACACAGAATTCAGGAGTTCCTGCCCCTGCAGTATACAAACTACCAAAGCACAGGGAAAAAGCCCCAGAAGAGCAGAACCAGAGGTTGATTGCACAGGTAATTATGAGAACAGATGGCCTTCATTGAGAGCTGGTGTGTGCTGTGCAGGTCTTTGTCCTGAAGTTAGACACAAGATGAGAGTGAGTATTTAGTTCTGGCAATACAGAGATTTCAGGGGCTCAGAAACAGTAATAACATGCTTAAGAGCCCACAGCTAGTCAGTGCTTGAGCTGTCTTTCCTCCTTGCTCGGTTTTGGGCCATTGGCCACCCAGCTTTATGGACACAGCACACCTTCCAACATGATGCTACAGCGCTGCTGGTTCACATGCCCATATTCCTGGATGGACTGTCTACAAGGCCAGACATTTTTATGTTTCTGGTTGCCACTTAAATTACTATTTATTATTAAAAGTAATATTTGGGGGTTGGTGAGATGAGATGGCTCAGCAGGTCAAGGCACTTGCTGCCAAGCCTGACAAGTTCAATCCCTGGTACTCAAAAGGTGGAAGGAGAGAACCAACTCCCACAAATTGTCCTCTGGCCATCACACATGTACACACACACACACACACACACACACACACACACACACACACACACACATAAATAGTATTTTGGGCTAGGGAGAGAGTTTGGTGGGTAATTGCTTGTTGCTTATAAGGACTGAGTTCAAATCCCCAGAACCCATGTAAAGCTACGTTCAGTAGCACATCTGTAATCCCTGTGTTCCAGCCTGACATACACAGCACAGCAGCAAACGACATAGATGCCCTACCTCAAGGCAGAAGGCAAGGACCAACACTGAGGTTGTCTTCTGACCGTGCATGCCATGGCATGTGTACACACACATGCACACACACAGACACACACACAGACACACACTTCCCAGCTAAGTGACTACCCTGTCTTTCTCACTCAATTATCTCCTCTCTCTCTCTCTCTCTCTCTCGCTCTCGCTCTCTCGCTCTCTCGCTCTCTCACTCTCTCTTCTTCAGTCTTCACTGATTTGAGTTGTCTGCCTTCTCATTCATTTTGGGAGTCTGTTCTGCTGGCTGCAGGACTTAGCTACTGGCCAGAGCACCACCCTCCATCAGTACATTCCTCTCTTGCTGTTCAGCTTTACCTTTGAATTTCATCCATTTTCTATGGTGAATCTGATTGTGGATCTTCTGATCTTTATATGGGAATTGTTGAGCTTCTTGGGTCTGTAGATTGTTTTCAACAAATCCACGAAGTTTGGGTTAGTACGTCATCTTTTTCTGTTCCTTCTCTCTTCTCCGAGCTCCTTTTCTCCCACATGGTTTAATTGATCTGTTCTTCAGTTTGAACAGTTTCTGTTGGTGTGTTTTGTTGTTGTTTGTCATTTGTTTTCTGGAACAGTCTCACCCAGGGTAACCTTGAAATCATGGCTATCCTCTTGCCTTATAACCCTAAATCCTGAGGTTATAAGTAGGAGCCACCTCACCGGGCTTAACTTCATTCTTTTTTCTTCTGCTACTGGGAATGCTCTGTTGACTCTTCCAGTGATTGCCACTACATGGTTCTTGATCATTTCTGTCCTTAATGGAATCTCTTTTGTGATATTTGCACATTAAATTTCTTAGCATGGTATCTTCTAGTTATTGGAACATACTGGTAATAGTACTTAGGAGTCTTTGCTAAATCCAACACCCAAGAATATTCCTGGTTCTTTTGATGCCTTCTTGAGTGAATGTGGGTCACATTCTTAAATTATTTATTTAAATATTTTATTATTTTTATATGCATGAATGTATTGCCTACATGTATGTAAGTGCACCCATGTCATGCAGTGCCCATGGAGGTCAGAAGAGAGCGTTGGAGCCCCTGGAACTGGAGTTACAGATGGTTGTTAGCCACCATGTAGGTACTGGGAATTGACAACCAGTGCTCTTAACTACTGAGCTATCTCTCCAGCCCCCCCCCCTTCCTCCGAATGTTTTTTATGTTTGTATTGAGAGCTAGGAACTTTAGAAAACATAGCAACTCTGGGTTTTGATTTCCACCCTGAAGATTGCATGTCTTATTTTTGCTTGCTGCTTTGATTTGTAACTGCCTGAGCTCTGTCTACGTGCACCTGTTCTCTGTCCCTCTCCCTCTCCCATCCCTGTTGAGTGTTATTTTCATTGTTTGAAAGCATGGCTTCTAGTGGATGACTAGCAGTAGAAAATGGCTGTGCTCATCATCTTGAGCTGCCATCCACCAAATACGGATCTGCAGGTGCCTTTGAGCACAGAACTCAGGCTGTTTGAGTCTCCATGCTGCTGTTTCCCAAAAGGCCCTTTTGTATCTACTCAGCCATGGAGCCAGGAACACACTTATCCTTACCTTGCTGAGGGAAGCTCTTGGCCCTCATGTCTACTTGCCTGAGGTGACTTACATTGACTGCCGGATGGAAGAGCCCCAGACCAGAATACCACAGACTCCCATTGTTCCCACTCGAAGCTAAGCAGCATTAACTGCTTAGAGTGAATGTACAACTGTATGATTTCTTTGTGGGAGTAGACTCCTCCTGTCTCTTCATTCAATTGTTACCATCTTGCATCTTGCCTGAATCCTGTTTTGACCTGGAACCTGTCATGAACGCTAGCAGACATCCAGGGGAAATAGCTCCTGTGACATTAGTCTGACCACATGCTATCAGTCCTCAGACTACACTGATCCCTAAGGCTGGGCAGAGCTTCTCAGGGCTTCCACACTGACCTTGGCCACTGCACAGCCACTCAGCATTGTTGCGTAGTTCAGGGTCATCTCACTCACTAATGGACTCGCTAGGACTGACCAGGACTCTGTGCTGCTACTTTGTGTGTGTGTGTGTGTGTGTGTGTGTGTGTGTGTGTGTGTGTGTGTGAATCTGTTCTGCTACTTTGTTTTTGTTTTTTGTTTTTTTGTTTTTTTTTTGTGTGTGTGTGTGTGTGTATGTGTGTGTGTGTAGAGAGAGCATTTCTCCATGGATCCCAAACAGGACTAGAACTCACTTTATATCCCATGCTGGCTTCAAACCCATGATCCTCCTGCCTCAGCCTCCCAAATGCTGGGATTATAGGCATGTGCCACCATACCCAACTCAAATGCTAATGAATATAGGGCCTTGTACATGCTAGGTAAGTGCCATACCATTGAGTTACATATACAGCCCTTAGTACTACCTTTTTTTAAAATTTTATTATTTTTATTTTGTGTGTATGCGTGTATTGCCTGCATGTGGGTAAGTGCACCTGTGTCATGTAATGCCCAAGGAGGTCAGAAGAGGTTGTCAGATCCCCTGGAACTGGAGTTACGGACAGTTGTTAGCTGCCATGTGGGTGCTGGGATTTGAACCCGGGTCTTCTGCAAGAATAATCAGTGTTCTTAACCGCTGAGCCATCTCTCCAGTACCCTATTTTATTTTTATTTCATGTGTATGTGTGTATTGCCTGCATGTAGGTAAGTTGTTCAACGCCTGCAGAGGACAGAAGAGGCTGTCAGATCCCCTGGAACTGGAGTTACAAACAGTTGTTAGCTGCCGTGTGGGTGCTGGGATTTGAATCTTCTGCAAGAATAATCAGTGTTCTTAACCACTGAGCCATCTCTCCAGCCCCAGTACTACCTTTTTAATCCTCATATTCAGGCCAGAATATAGCCTGAATGGGCCTCTGAACTCATTATGTGAGTGAGTCATTTGTCTGGCAAAAGAAAGCAAGTAGCCTTAGCAGTGCTGGTCAGACTTGCTGGCAGACTAGAGACCAAATTATCTGAGGACTACCGTAGGAACAGCTTCTCCAGCCTCCAGTTGCCCAGTTGCCTCCAGTGCAGCCCAGGTTGCTTTTGAGTCCCTCCTCTACTAATCCCCACAGCTCTGCTCCTGCCGTTTACCTTCTGTGGGGTACAACTATCCAGGTACTTAGAACATGGGGAAGTAGCCTGTAGCTCTCTGGTATGTGGTTCTCAGAAAGGTACA